AGAACAGGCAAGGTAGTTACGTCCTCTTCCGAAATATTCCTTCGCTTGGGGTCTCTTAATCTGAAAAGTTGCATCACATGCACAAAATATGATTTATTGCCACATAGCAGGTCAAAATGAAAAACAGATAATACTAGGACTCAAAGCTTGCCTTGAATGTTGGAGTCAGCAGACCATTTTCAATAGTAAATGGTTCAGGCACCAAAGTTACAGCTTTTACGAATTCAAAACCTCTAAGCTGTAGGGTATCAAATAAGGATACAGATATTTAATATTATTAATTAAAGATGAAGCCAAATTATAAGGTAGGAGTAAGTGTAACATAAAATGAATAACTTACCTGTGCCTCTCGTCCAACAGCATCCATCTCAGCCAAGACAGCTGCCCTTGCTTTTGGATCATCGCAAAGTTGTGGTAAATCATTATACTGCACACAAAACAGAGCATCATTTAATGTAGCACACTGCTTTGACAAATTAAAATCAACACATTGAAGCAAAATAAAATTATTAGAAGAGCCTATGTAATTTACTAAGACTAAATAAAGAGCCACCATACATGTAAAGAGCCGGTGTGTTAAAATCGGTGCAAACAACCACAAAGGCTATTAGTTAATCAAAATTTATGTAAAAATGGTGCAAAGACAAAGAACCACAATAAAGCACCTTAATTGATCCGGAAGTAACTTCTAGGATAGCTTTTATTCAAATGTATGATCACCCATCAAAGAAAAGTTAGTTCAATTTTATGATCGTCAATTAGGTGAAAGAGAAGTTACTTCAACTCAATTGAAAATGTCCACTTAATTTCAGGTACAATTATTAGCAACCAAAAGTAGATGCAGGCTCTAAATTACTATGCTAAATAATTTCTCCTACTAATTTGTTTTAAGAAAATTAGTAGCAACACCACATTTGATTCGGCTGAGATACAGGGGAGGGCAATAGAAGGAACTAAAATGGGAGGGATAAGAATCATTTCAGCCATCAGTTTGCAGGAAAATTAGAGTGAGAAATAATAAAATTCCACGGGCCCCACATAAAATTCTTCCCTCCCATCCCAGGCATGAAATGGAGCATATTATATCACATGTTTTGTTCATTATTACAAGACTTATATTACCTCTTATTTCATTACTTAATTTCATTCATCCAAACAACTTATTTATAAATATATATATATATATATATATATATATTTTTTTTTTT